TGGGCTTTGGGTCTCCACTCCACACTCCCCCTCATTCACAATGACATGATTTTTTGTTCTGGGTCTTTGATGCCTGATACCTGATCCTATTGACACCTCATGATCACACAGGCTGGTGTGCTTTCTTCCATGTGGGCTTTGTTGCTTCTCAGCTAGATGGCCTCTTTTTGCCTTCAAGCCTTTAAGACCCCAGACGTTATATCTTTTGATAGCCGGGCTCCATCAGCTTTCTTCACCACATTTGCTTATGCACCCACTTTGTCTTCAGCGATCATGTCCGGTCCTGCTCACGCTTTAGCTAAGTTCATTCTGGCTTTCAGCCCATCTGTTGAGCATTTTAGTTTTGCAGTTATATTTTCTGTTTCCAAGAAATAGAATTAAAATCTTTTTGATTACATAAAAGATTCTCTCATCTATTCAGAGCAATCATTATTCTCTTATTTCTGAGCTTTAATTATGCATTAAAAGCTGTCTTCATCCTAAAGTATGATTTATTGCACCTGTACCCGTCCTTCACTGGTGGGAGGAAGACAAGGGTTTCTATTGAGATCCTAACCGGATGCCAAGGCTTGGTGGTCAAGGGATGGAGATGTTCCCCCTCCCCCTGCCAGCCTGGACACAGGACCTCTGTGGACCTCTTGCCTAGGAGAATGAGCCCCCAGGTTTGGGGAGGGGCCCTCAGGCAGCACGGCCTTCCGGCCTGCACTCAGTGCCTCCGGGGACGGACAGGCAGGGCTGACGTGACTGTTCCTCTTCCCACAGGCAATGGTGCCATCACACGGTGACACGGACGGTGTCCTGCCAGGTGCAGAATGGCTCCGAGACGGTGGTCCAGCGCGTGTACCAGAGCTGCCGGTGGCCCGGGCCCTGCACCAACCTTGTGAGGTAAAAGCTGAGGGGCTGACCCCCCCTCTGCCCTTGCTTGCTTTTCTCCTGGCTGCCTTTAACTCCAGGACAGCTGTTAGGGGAGGGGGGCTGGGTTGATACTTGGCGTCAAGAGTTGAAGGTGCATTGATTAAGTACCTTCTGTGTACATAGCATGTGGGTGTATGTGGGGCAAAAACGAAAGGACGTGTGCCCACTCTGATGGGATGTCGCAATCTGGAGGTTAGTCTGATACTGCCATAAAAGGAGCCCTGGAGACATCGTCTGAAGCCATTGCATCAGCATATCCTTGAATCTGC